ACGGGTTCTTCTCTAATGAAACGTTTCGTCTCTCCTCCAAGAGACTTCTTCAGTCTGAGAGTTTCAGGCAAAATTCAGGCTTTAAAGCACTGCCTCCATGTGACTGATACATCACATGGCTATCATTGACACCTAATTAACACCTATCAAATCCCTGTTTAACAATAGGTGTTAATAGGTGTTTCATTAGAGAAGAACCCGTCCAGAGGACCTATACAATTTTTTTCTTTTTTCCATTTGCTACATTAATATTTTAAATTGTGCATCATTATAATATTCATTTTTAGTTAAGTTATATTCCTAAATGAGACTTCAACTTTTACTAGAGTAACATTTTGGTATGATACTTGTACTTTTACTTAAGTATCATGTTGTGGTACACAGTGTGTGACATAGATGTGATAAAACAATCGCATGTTTAGTCATCTACGAACTTCTTTTAGTTTGAGCAGAAGTGAGCAGTATCATTTTCAAATAAAAAGTAAGATATAAAAAAAACATTTTACAGTCGTCATGGTGTGTGTGTGTGTGTGTGTGTGTGTGAGTGTGTGTGTGTGTGTGTGGGGGGGGGGTCAGTTAATGCACTGGCCCCCCAAATGTTATGACCGCCCGTGTTAGGAGCAGCGAATGAAGACAGAGGGACAGAGAGACACATGGACAGGAGGGGAGGAGAGAGGGCGGGGTTAGCGGGTAGAGAGACGTTGACTCAGACTGGGAGAGAGAGAGCAAGACTCCCGGTCCGGCAGGCAGGCTTCATGGTCAGTATGTAGCAGAGGAGCAGGATTGGGATTAAAAACAGAGGGGAAAACCACTCCTGGGCATAAATAAAAACAGCAGCTGGATTATATTTACTCGGTGAGGATGAGACACACGCGGTCCGCCTGAAGGACACTGAAACACGTTAATCTGCACGCTTTTACATCGTTTTTACGGAAAATGGCGAACGACTCCCCGGCCAAGAGTCTGGTGGACATAGACCTGGCCTCCCTGAGGGTGAGTGTGTGCTCCCTGGTCGTCTTTACCGGCTGCTTTTACTCTGCTGAAATAAAATAACTAACCTGTAATAAGCAGAGCTGCTGACACAACCCTGCGGGGCTGTTCTTTGTCTAATACCCGCTGTCCGGGCGCTGCCGGTGCGCACACCAAGCGCACCCCGCTGCAGTTAAATCAATGAATAATTTTCTTTCTGTGATTTATGTTAAATCCAGGACCCTGCTGGGATCTTTGAACTGGTGGAAGTAGTCGGGAATGGCACATATGGACAAGTCTACAAGGTTGGTTTGTGGTGTGTGTGTGTGTGTGTGTGTGTGTGTGTGTGTGTGTGTGTGTGTGTGTGTGTG